CTTAAAATAAAGTTCAAGTTTGTCATTTGTGTGACCAGGTATTCATAATGTACATTGAAATGCATTACATCTTTTCATAAATAACTCTAACCTAAGATAAAATTCATTATAATACTTGAAAGTTTGCTTGTTGTGTGTTTTAATGCATTATATTTTCTAAAGGTGTAACAATGAAATAGATAAGTATTATATTGATTATAACTGTGGTTACATGATCATGAGATCATACAATGCATTATAAGGTGCATTACAAGGCACAATTAATGCATTAAAACTACTTTCATAATGCAGTATATATATATATATATATATATATATATATGTGTGTTTTAATGCATTATATTTTCTAAAGGTGTAACAATGAAATAGATAAGTATTATATTGATTATAACTGTGGTTACATGATCATGAGATCATACAATGCATTATAAGGTGCATTACAAGGCACAATTAATGCATTAAAACTACTTTCATAAATATATATATATATATATATATATATATAAAGGCTTCAAGTAAAGTGTTAAAGAATCTTTTTTTTTTCCTTAATATAAAGAACATTTTAAAAATCTAAAGAACCTTTTGTGGAATGGAAAGATTCCATGGATGTTAAGGTTCTTCATGAACCACATATGCTTAGTTGGGGAAATTTCCAGTGATATCGTCAACTTGAATGCACAGATACTATTAGAACTGAACTGAGCTGGGCGTTGACATCACTGAATCAATGATGAACTGACTTTAACAGAAAATTGAGTGTTTACTGTTGTCATTTTGCATTATTACACACTGTTTTTCCTATTTAATACTGTAAAGCTGCTTTGACACAATCTGTATTGTTAAAAGTGCTATATAAATAAAGGTGACTTGGCTTGACACAGATGCCAGTAAAGAACCTTTTTTTTTTAAGAGTGTATCTTTAGCAACTCATAGCAGGAACATAATGGTATACACAGAGATATCTATTGGTACAATACACATCACATGACTAAAAATGTTCAAATACCTCCATTTTCACAGTCCATTCAACAATACGAAAACTGCATTTTTAAATGTTTTCCACTTGTGAGAGAGTCTTCAAAATGCTCAGGTTTCACTGGATAAAAACATTGTGTCTCATTGTGGCCAAAATGTATATAAAAAGGTGAATTTGCAATTGTATCTGGATTAATGTACACTATAATGCAGCCTTGGATTATTCAAATGTTCTTTTAAGACTTTTTCACTGAAAGGTTCTTTGAGAAACCCAAATAGTTCTTCGATAGCATTGCTGGAAAAAAAAACCTTAATTTTTAAGAGTGCAGATGCTTTTCCCAAGATGCGATTGTATTGAGGAAGTAGAAATGAGCATGTAAACAGAAGCAAACTAACTCACTGACCCACAAAAGTCAAAAAACAAGTGGCGGCGAGTCGGTCTAGCCTGTAATCCTGCTACCATGGTGAGATGCTCCTGAAACAGAATGATGGGGGTGTTGTCAAGGCAACCTGCGCAGATCCTTCAGGGCGCTCGGTGCTCACATTTCCCCATGTTCTTTGTTTACAGAGAGATGGATTGAGAAGGAAGACAAAGCTTGGAAAATGTCTCACTACACCTGTGCATGGCATATAAATCCAGCTATGTAAGAATGTGGCTTTCACCATGGGACCAATAAGATTCAATAAGTCCTGGCATGAATTCCCAGGCCGCTCATGTAAACGCAAGCGATCATACTGTATATAACTGAATCTATCACCTCAGATGTCTCAATATGACAAAGAAAAGCTTCGCTGAGTGACAGTGCGGCACCACTAGAGCTGAAGAACGGCTGATGTGAGCATCACGAAAATGTCACTGCTAATAATTGAGTAACTCTGTGCTATGAAATCATTTACAATGTCAGAGGAGATTGGGTTCAACGCTATGAAGCTGTTGATCTGTAAAGGTCAATTAGGAAAAACAAGACAATCAGAAAAATGACAAGGCTTCAGGGTAATTAGTCCATGTGACTTTAAAAGGGACTGGTGTGTTAATTAATTTTAAGCCTGTTGATCTTTACTGATGGTCCTGTTTTTCCCCAATTAACCTTTTGCGGCACTGGACAAAGTATAGACAGATCTGAGATTCTCAGAGCTCCACATTTCAAGAAAACTGAATATTACTTAAACTTAAACATGGCAGAATATATTAAACTACACTTTTTGGTGTCTGAAAATATTTGCTACATTCCAATTTGCATACTATCCATCCTAAATAGTATTAAAAATGTTAATTATGTGTCCTAAATCGTAGTATGTTGAAATGAGCATCCCAATGGTACTCTGAAGGTCTACTATTTCCGGTAAAAATTCAAAGTCCAGATCCATATGTAGGATGCATCTACATTAATCCGGATACATTTGAAAATGCCGTTTTCATTTCAAAACGCTCGCCGTCCACACTAGCGTTTTTAAGCATTTTCTAAAACTTTCTCATCCACATTAAAATGTAGGAAAACGCTAAATTCACCTTGCTGCGCATGTGTAAAACCTCCTATTAGTGAAACTGAAATTTATCCACTTTGGAGAGCGTTTACAAAAAGCGCCATCTCATTGTCGACAGAAGGCCAAAACAGAGAGAAAAAGATGCGTTTTCAAATGAAAATGTATTAGTGTGGACAAGGCCTTAAAGGGATAGTTCACCAAAAAAGAAAATTCTGTCATTATTTACTCTCCCTGTAGTTTGTTCCAAACCTGTCTCTGGACAGGAAGGCTATGGAAGTCAATGGCCGTGAACTGTTTGGATACCAACATTCTTCAAAATATCTTCTTTTCTGTTCAACAGAATAAAGAAATGACAAGTGGGTGAGTAAATGATGACAAAAAAATCTCATTTTTGGGTGAACTATCCCTTTAACAGCTAATATTGCCCACAATCCATTGTGCTTTTGGGGAAGATTCAGTTTAGGAACTACAAACACAAATGAAATGATACATTTAAAAAAAGTTCAAACACAGGATGTGGGAGACCTAAAGTTAAGTAAAGGGGTTTGAGTGATTTATAATCAGCATCTAACTTGATGAAAATATTCATGTTCATCTGCAACACCAATATTTGGTACACAAAAATAGATGGTGCTGATGAAGTATCAACAACCAGTGAAGCATAGATATCTAAAATAAACAAGTGTGAAAAAGTCAAACTTGATCAGGAGCACATGCCTGAGTGTGGTGTGATTCAAGCAGGTTCACCGTGGAGGAATTGCAGCACACCAGCCATAACAGTAATGAAATGCTATAGCCAGAACATCATGATAAATCTCCTCTGATAAAACAGCATGAAGTCCAAACTCTGTTTTAAGCAAAGCAGACAGCATACTTACTTTATGACATCAATTAACACAGACGGCTTTGCAAAATGTGTCCGAATCTATTCCATTAATGTGAGTACTTGCAACAGATACAACTACATTTGCATTTCCTGGAATGGCAAGGCAGAAAAAAAAACAGTACTGGCCTTTTAGGTAAAATTAGGTATTAGAAGTTGATTCTGGCAGCTATAGATGCTTAAATGTATGCAAGGAAGAAGACCAACCATAATAAACTATACAAACAGATGTTAGAAAGAAGATAAATTGCAATTATTATACAGTATATGCAAATGTGATGGTGTTGTTCTTGTGATAGTTTATATTTTCAGTGCAGAATGCTGAATGTGTCAAAATATTGCAGAACCTGAAGCAGGAAGTCATGCTGATATGGGTGGGTTTACAATAAGCATTTTTAATAGAGTTTATTTTTTTTAAATGTTTGCATTATGAAATAGCTGAATTGGTTTTATTTGATAATTGAGAGCTATTTGAGGAAACAGACATTTGTTTGTTTTTGAACTTTCTAGTAGATCGGACAAGTTAATTTTTATTTTACTAGTAAAATCAAATAAAATAACAAAAATAGCACAGGATGAAATTACCTGCAATATAAATGTGTTACCAGTTCATAGGAGAAATTCTCCATATTTCAGTGAATGATAAACTGCTATGCATGGTTATGAAGGTGTGAGAGAGGATGTTCTCTCAGGTGGTCCTCTGATGTTTTAGAACACAATGGTTTCCAGACGGCCCCCCTGCTGGCCATTAAAAAAACATAAAAATGCCTCCCACTCACAATGAGTCACGGCCAAATCAATACATACTCTCCATCCCAAGCAGGCTATTTAAAGTGCAGCACAACAGGAGGAAGAGAAGCCAATTAATTAGTGCTAAAGCTTCACTTCCTATAGAGGATTAAAGGGAACTGCACAGCGCATGGGAAAAAAACATACCTGAAGGGTAATATGTCATTGTGGAAAGTTGTTAAAGAACTTTAAAAAATAAATACAAATTCAGGATTCGTAATGTGCTGATAAGCTAACTGTTGATCAATGAGCTTCTACTAAAGTGGAGCATGTGGTGTACTCGGATAAAAAAAAAACAAAAAAACAGCAAAGCTGCTCTAAAAATATCCGAGCAGGTTCTATAAATGGCGGCGAGTTTTTCTTCTGCTGACTGCGTTACGAGAAGTCCGGAGGGAGAGTCCAGTCCTACGCTAACTCCTAACAGCTAGACTAGAGCGGGAAACAGAGGCATGTTCAGGGATTCAGATCAGTGACTTCATTTTTCAATTTCACTGAGCACACAGCTTGCGTTCAGCCAATATGTTTTTTTAATGTGAGGATTCAGCACACTTGAACATCAAAATGTATTCAAATGTCGACTAGTGGACTGAATACATTGGCATATTGTGATAGGTTTTCATACCACAAAAAAGGAAAAAAGGATGAAACTAATCATAAAATATCATTCGCATGACAAAAATGTTAGCGTATTTATTGTACGACCTTGCTTTCAACTTGGTACAGCTGAATAGTATTACACAATTTAGTAACCACAAACAAAGCAACACATTTCAGCGGGAGAAATACAGTTTCTCTGCATTTCAGACATACGGTATCTGAAATAAATAGTTTTATCACTTTCTAACAGGAAGGTTTCAGGTCTTTTTTTAGAGTCTTGCTCTATTATTACTATTAACATATAAGTAATCACATTCCTGCACAAATGTGTTTCATGACAAATGACAACAACACTACAATACGTCTCTGGAATCTGTAACAGGGCGAGACCAGTGACGCACAGCTAGCGAAATGACAGTGACCTTTCAAAACCAGACAAGGAACGCACATGCTTTTTGTGTAAAGTGTCAGAGATGGAGTCTCAGTGCGTTAGAGGGAATTTTAGTATCATTTTAAAAATGCAGATCCAGCACAAATTCCTCAAAAAGGGAAATATGGCAGAAGAACATGGTTGCTTAGCCACAGCTATGTTTATGATAGCGCATGAGTCATTCATTTGTGTTGTGATTCAAGTGATACTAATAACACCTTCATTATCCATTATCCATTCAAATGACCGCTTCAAACGTAGTCAGAGCACGTCCTGCTTACATTCGTAATAAAATGTAAACAGAAACCGCAAACGTTTACATGGTTAAAAAAAAATGCAGGCCGTGCATGATAATAGATACTGGACAAGTAACAGTGAAGGTGTGTTTGTGTGTTTTCTGTGGAGTTTGGTGACAGTTATTTATCTTTTCGGCCGGTCAATGTCATCGATAGCTGTGAGGAGTTTCTGTCGCGCTTTCTTGTTGATGTGGGACCCGAGGCAGACGTTGACCAGGTTAGTCAGCTGCTTCATAGAGTACTCCTGGTCAAACACAAAACAAACTCGTGATAAATCTCTACTAGAGATGCCTTACATCATTTTAATGAGGAGTTAAAGCATGGACATGCTTTACTAAACAGCATCACAGGGCTTTTTCTTAACATTTAAATAGGAATCAATTAGTGCTGCATGATGTATATAAAATATTTTCACAACGGTTTTGATGGTGATAATAAATTAGATTAGCTTTGAGATGGCAAGAACTAAAGTTTTAATACAGGGATGTTTTAAAAAAGATCTCAGATTTAAATTTCAGAAACAAACGTTGCCAGATTTGGTAAGTTTGATTCCTTTCTGTGAATAAGATCAAATGTGAATATGCTTTAATGAATCAATTCAAAACTATTATTATTTTTGTATTATCACTACAAACTTCTCACATAGTAAAATATATAGGGAGACACATATAGTTCGTTATTATGTATTGGTGCATATATTTTTATAAAATAAAATGAATGTCATATTTTAAATATAATTTATTAAATATAAATATTTAAATATTAAATAGAATGAATACAGGTAAAATGGTACATCTCCTCATTATTTGTCATTGGCCTTTTAATATTTTTGAGTTAATAGTTTTATAAAATTTGTAGTATTTTACCTGTATTTACTTTTCATAATAAATAATATTTAAATTTTATAAATGAAGATAATTATCTCTCTCTCTATATACTGTATAACAATATTTAATATTTTTGAGTTAATTTAGTCTTGATTGCAATTGATTTGATGTGTTTTTACTTGACTTTAATTGTTTTGATTGTAGGAATTCGCCATTTCAAAGCATTTAGCAATCTATAAAACCTATTTAGCACCTTTTAACAACCTGCCTACGTTGTGTTGTCAGGTGTAACCCATCTTACCCTGTGGTTCTTGATGAACTGCTCCATGTCATTCTCAGTAAGGTAGTATGCCTTGATGTAGGTCTCTACGAACTCCTTGTCTGGAATTGGTCTGAGGTCGGTGAGCTTCTCCAGCTTCATCAGGAACTGCTGGAAGTCCAGCTGCATCAGCGCACGTCCTTCATTACTGCATTTCTTCACATTTGCATAGCTGGCAGACAGCAGGAGAGAAGGAGAGCAGAGATGAGTGTGCGTCAAACAGATAAAGGGCATTCATTAACTGTTGACAGTTTATGCTACATTAATTGTAGAGACAGTTCCCTACAGTAACCTCAGGTTAAGTGTATTGCTCGCGAGCACGATGGTGCTTGTAACTCTACGGGTTACATGTAACCTTATGGCCCTACCACTGATCGAACCTGGAACCTAGCTAACCGCTAGGCCACCATAATGTCAATGGAATGTCAATAAGAATACATCAATAAATAGAGCAACAATGCAGTGATTGACCAATCAGAATCAAGTCTTCTAATCTTCCAGGGTCATATAACAAGATTTACGATAGCTGAGATCATTATTTTTGTTTCTAGGTCCCCTTCTGAATGTAAAGACGTGATAGAAATGTTAAAATATAGGGGTGCATATTTATAAAATAATAAATCGGCATAGATGCTCCACATATCTGGTTTTCAGCTTAAATAATAATAATTGAGACAGACCGTGGGATATGTCATTTAAGCCAAAAGACAACTCCGCTTTTGACTGTAAAGAGACACCAAATGCTGAGGGCCATTTTTGGTCAAATTTGCCATTTGCTCAGTTTGACACCTTTTGATTTGTACAGCTTGTGGGTCTCGGTTTGCAGTCCTGAGCCCTAAGCATCCAACACAACCAAAGCATCGATTTACAGTGTAGCTGCATCCAAGGCAAACAAGCATCCACGCAGAGTTCAGTGCTGTTGACACCCCTGTTTACTTTTTGGCTGACAGTGGTGTAATTACTTTCTGTGAGGGGAAAGATGTTGCTGGGCCTATTGAGTATATCCAGTCTGCCAATATATCCCTCTGTTTCCCTGCCTCCTTCCTTCTTCTTGTCACGTTCTGCTTGATGGCCGGGAATGATTTGGAATGCAACTCGGCGCTGCACTGGCATTTGACTACTTGAAAAAGAGAGGCTGAAATGGGTATCATTAGAGTTGGTGCTAGGATGAATTAGCTAAGGGGCCATTTAGATTTTGATTTGACATCTTTGATTTGTAATAGAAAACTTTTGTAAAGTTATAAATGTTTTACGGTCACTTTTGATAATTTTAATGTGTAAAAATGTATTAACTCCAATATTTGGAATGGTAGTATGTGTGTATGATAATGATAAATAAATGTAAAAATAAAACGGGTAAAAAATAAAAATGTAAAATCAAAGATAAAATAAAGTAAAAAAAAAAATGCAATAAATGACACTACTCTATAAACTGGAAACTTAAAAAAAAATCATTTTAATGGCATCATTGCTTGCTGGTAGAGTGATGATAAACATTGTGGGAGAGAAAAAAGGTCTCAGATTAAAATACCAAAAGATCATACTTTTAACACACTATTTTAATACACCATACCACAGCGAATTCAATCATAGACTGTAATTTTAAAATTAATTTACTGATTTATTTTATAAAATAGTTCCAAAACATTAAACAAGTAAAACACATTTGTTCACAACTGACTTTTTTGGCATTTCATGATTATTATTAAAGTATATAATGTATAATGTATATGATTATTATATAATATATTAATTATCCCAGCATTTAATCAGCTATAGGACTAATTTTCTCAGCTTACAAAATGCTGTGGATGCTGTCTACCTGAACATGTGATGATTACAGAGAGCGTTAACTCCCTGCAATTACAATCACTGTTCAGTTTTGAGCAAAACTGCACAGGCAGAAAAAGCAGCGAAGATAGCGGATACAGACTGCTCCAGCTACTCAGACAGCCTCTTTAACACCTCTTTCAAACAACCTGCCCTCAAAGATTGCGCTCTGCCATTTTCAAACAAGTGGCCCTTGACCTTATGATGCAGGTGTATAGCTGAATCCTGCCAGGAGGTGCTTGCCAATCTATGCTGGGCCATGCTCTTATCAACTATATATTCTGTCTTGGCAAAAAACATCCTTTTAAACAATCACAGTCCTAGACCTACGCTACCTCTGAAATCGGAGGATTATGACAAGCTGATCTTACTGAAACCCTAAACCTTACCCTAATATCGGATTAATTAATTGACAAAATAAATCATTACCATACTGATTATCTACCTATGATTTCAAATTGTGCATGCTCACTTCCCCTGCTTATCCAGCAACAATGACCAGCTCCGGGGTAAATAGCTTAAAGTCCTCGGGGTGTTTGAGTCTTAATGTGTGGCACTTTGTACAAATGGAGTATGCAGACTTTATAGAGGACCTCACATTTGGCCAGTGGCAGCCCAGATGGGACTGAACAATACAGGAGTGATGAGTTTGTAGATTCTTTAGAGTTTCTTAGATATTCTGGGAACATACGGTCATTCCACATCAGTTCATCTGTGCTGTTGTTACGCACTCTATCGTGGGCTTTTTCAGTTGTTTAAAAAAAGCCTGTTCATCTCTGGACAGTGTGTGATTACTTCTTTATGCACTCCCGAGCTATAGAAATGAATAATCAATGGATTACATGGCTAGAGAAATGCATTATTCTGATACGTTTTATTCTCACATGTGACTAAAACCAGATGTCTACAGTGAAGCTTTACTATGAAGAACCTTTCTGAAGTTAAGAGGTGCCTGTAAAGTCGTGTCAAATGTGCTCCCAGCAAATCTCCATTATGTTGAGGGGGTGACGAGTATAAGAGCTTCTTCTGCAGGTCTGCGAGCTTCAAGATTGCCAGCACACTGAAGATAATATACTGGGGTAAGGAATGAGTGATGGAAGACAGGTTGACAACCAGCTCTTTGGAGAAGACATGGCTTCTAAATTGCTTGTCGCACCGTGCCACGCAAACTTCCCTGACGTTCATTTATAATAATCCGGCTCTCGACTAATGACAAGCAGATGGGTGCAAGAAGATGGGTGCCTTTTGTCAGATATTTGCTTTAAAAGTGAATATACTATTGAAGGAAGTTGAACAAGAAAATAGTAGAAAATATATAATTTATTAAAGGGGTCATATGATGCGATTTCAATTTTTCCTTTCTCTTTGGAGTGTTACAAGCTCTTGGTGCATAAAGAAGATCTGTAAAGTTGCAAAGACTAAAGTCTCAAATCCAAAGAGATATTCTTTATAAAAGTTCAGAGTCAGCCACACCTACCTAAAACGGCTCGTTCTAACACGCCCCCACATATCTACCTCACTATGTGGGAAGATTTGCATAACGCCGCCCAAAAAAAGAAAGAAGGCGTAACTTATATTCTCACTGTAGTATTGTTGCCGCTGCCGCCATTTCGTGAAGACGCTGTGTGCTTCGTTGTGAAAGCGAAACTACTTTGTTTGGAAACAATAATGTACAGTATGTGGAAAATAATGTGTTTTTTTTTACTTTAAACCGCATAAACACATTTCATTACACCAAATACACAAAATAATGTTCTTTTTAGCAGCATCATATGACCCCTTTAAAAAATTCTGAAAAAAAATACCATGGTTTACACAAAAACATCAAGCAATACTATAACGGTTTTCAACACTGAAAATAAAAAGAAACATTACTTGAGCACCAAATTAGCATATTAAAATGATTTCTGAAGGATCAAGTGATACTGATGGCTACTGAAAATTCAGCTTTGCCATCCCAGGAATAAATGTCATTTTAAAATATATTAAAATTGAAAACAGTTATTTAAAGTTGTAATAATATTTCACAATATTACTATTTTTACTGTACTCATCCTTTCTGTTAAATACATTTGAATTATACTGGGTAAGACATTCAATTATCCAATGATCAGCGTAGCAGATTCATACAGTACTCATGTCAAATCCACTAGTGTTCACTTGTGCTTTCTTGTATCATAAATATCACTGACTTTGTGAGAAGATTTAATCAATTGAGATCTGCCTGAGGAACTTCAAGAAGTTGTTAGGAGGAAAGTAGATGGTTCTAAAAAGACTGGCAAAGCTTTTAACCTTCTATGTTGATTAAAGTAAAACGGAAAGAGCGTGGCGCAACACAAACACTTCTAAGGTCAGTCCATCTTACAAAACCGAACAACTGGACAAACGGCATTTGTAAGAAAAATGACCAAGAAGCCAGATGGACTACATGGAATTCCAGAACTGTTTGAATGAAAGGGGGAAAACTGTCTAGACAACAGCAAGCATTTGACGTCTTATGCCTCTTTGGGAGATCAGCCAGAAGAAAGTCACTTTTGAGACAAGCCAACATGAAGTCAGCCTGGAATTTGCTAGAAGCCATGTGACAAAACATGAAATCTATTGGAAGAATATTCTGTGGTCTGAAGAGACTAAACTTGAGCTCTTTGGCCTGAAAGTGAAGTGCTGTGTTTGGCACACCAAATACAGCACAATACCAAAAATACCAAGCAAGATGGTGACAACGCCATATTCTGTGGTTGCTTTTCAATAGGAGGAACTGAAACTCTGCGACAACAATTTGGCAAAGTAATATCTAATATTTAATCAAGTATATATAATATTTGACAATATAGGCAAATCCTTGAAGAGAAGCTGAGAGGTAAATACTTTTTGTAAATGAGAACTGTAAGTGGAGAAATAAATGGCTAAAGGTAAATTTACTGGATAAATGGGTTTAAATCATTAGAGGATTTATAAAATAAACTAGAAAGCACTATAAAACCTAGTTCCATCAATACTACCAAAGTGAAGTGGTATTGCCACAGTAATAGGAGGTTCTTTGGCCATTGCTGAACTCAGTGGACCTGTATGTGATCCAACTGCTCCTGCAAGCTATTTTCTTTGTTTGGGAAAGGGCTGAGTGGTTTGTGATGGCCAGTACTCCAATAAAAACACTCTGTGGTAGGAGATTTATCTAAGAGCAGGTGGTCTTATAGACATCCACACCCATTTGGTTCAGCTTGGTAGCCCACTTACCCCTCCACTAATGTCCTGTTGGCCAGACGGATGCAGTGCTCCCATAAGACATTGGACACAGGCAGAGGAATCCGAACTATTTTCGACACATCTCCCAGTCTCTGGTTAAACTTCTCAAACTCCTGCAGAAAACAGATGGTGATATATGGGTCAATGTCATGCCGCTCATGTTTTGTTTGGATCTATTCATTAATTGAAAAAAGAAAAATAATAAATAAAATCATTACAAAAGGAATTCATACATAGAATGACTTGAATGCACCTCTTCTAAAATATATTTGGATATTTTTGAGTCAAAAATGTCAGGGTTATAAAACTCACACCACATTGAATATAAAGCCTCAAAAACATATTTATGAATAAATAATTAACAATATTTCTGAAAAATACTTTTTTAAAAACAATGATTAATATACTCAACAAGGAAAATAGATCACTTTTTACTAGGCCACATTCACAGGATATTGAATTGAAACATTTCTTGAAAATGTCGTGAAAGTTTTTCAAAACTACATGAAACCCACATGATCACAAACTAAGAACTTAAAGTCTAAGAAACTAAAAGATTGCGTTATCGGGGACACTCTTAGTTGTCACTGACCCATAACCATTTGTGACCCTGGACCACAAAACCAGTCTTAAGTCACTGAGGTATATTTGTAGCAATAGCCAAAAAAAAAAACATTGTATGGGTCAAAATGATCGATTTTTCTTTTATGCCAAAAATCATTAGGATATTAAGTAAAGATCATGTTCCATGAAGATATTTTGTAAATTTCCTACCATAAATATATCAAAACTTGATTTTTGATTAGTAATATGCATTGCTAAGAACTTAATTTGGACAACTTTAAAGGGGATTTTCTCAGAATCTAATCTAACTTTAAATTTAGATTTTTTTGCACCCTCAGATTCCAGATAATCAAATAGTTGTATCTCGCCCAAATATTGTCCTATCCTAACAAATCATAATCAATGGAAAGCTTATTTATTCAGCTTTCAGATGATGTATAAATCTCAATTTCAAAAAATGGACCCTTATGACTGGTTTTGTGGTCCAGGGTCACATTTAGTGTTACGTCCTCCCTTGTGTGCAGTGCTTGCTGTTAACCGTTCACCTTAACCACAGCGTTCTTGTTGGGTGGTGTTGGAACCATCTGGATGAGAGGTCATGAACGGGCTAGAAGCGCTTTTGTTTAAGCATGCCGTACAAGTCCAGAAATCCCAACAAAGGTGTAAATTAATCACAGAATCAGAGAAGCGGAAACAGCAGTCTATAAATGTTCACTGAAGCCATATTGTCGGACCAGGTTGTCAAACCTACAGGATCCAGGCTATACAAAGAAACAGTCTCTGCAGTGCAGATGTCTCGATAAAGCCGTGCCACGTACAAAAACCTGCACTGTATAAGCCGGCGGCTCACGGAGGTGTTGATTCAGCTGTGCTCGAGCCCATTTCTCTTTCACTTGTGACAGGAAAACCCACCCATAACTTTCTTAACGCAATGACATATGGCTCATTTGAGAGCCAAGGACTACATGTACTGTGGGCTCGCACCTTGAATGTTGATACAAAGCCAAGGGCACTAAAACTGATGTGCAAGTTGTCTGGGTTATTTTGCTACCTTTAATCTTCTGAATTAATTTAAAAAATATCGAGTTTATTTTACAGCTTAGAAATATGGCTTTAAGAAGAAACACAAAAGTGCTGGTGTCAAGATTACTGTTTCTCAGTATCTAATTATAATTTATAGTTCCTGCAAGAGACAGTGTAATAATTCATACCAAGAAACTAATCACAGCAAACATAGATCAGATTATCTGCTCTCAGTCATGTTGATAAGCATTAAAGCAATGCAAACGGAAAGGTTTTTGATTTCTAACAAGTCTTGCAGTGCAAAAAAAAAAAAAAAAGCAGTATGATAAAAACCACACAAAGGTTTAACCCACTTACATCCTAAAGAACTGAAATGTCACTTCTGAGCTGTCATCAGTATTGGTTCGAAATGGTCACAATATCAGTCTCTTAAATCAATTAGCAGAAAAAGCTAAGAAAAAAAATCTTATTTAATCTTCAGAGTTTTGTGCAAGCTTGGCGCGCAAGTATTTTGCAACCCTTCGCTTCAGAAGAGCTGTGTGGAGCACTTTTTTATGATGGATGAATGCACTTTTTGGTCTTCAAAATCTCGATCACCATTCACTGCCATTATAAAGCTTGGAAGAGCCAGGACATTTTTTTCATATAACTCTTGATTGTATTCATCTAAAAGAACAAAGTCATATAAATCTAGGATGGCTTGAGGGTGAGTAAATCATGGGGTAATTTTCATTTTTGGGTGAACTATCCCTTTAAGAAAAAGAAGATACTTTAATATATACATTTATTTTTCCCCCCATACAACAAAAGTCAAAGGGGTCCAGTGTTGTTTGGTAAAGACTGACTTGCATTGTTTGGACAAAAACAGCTGAAAAATTATTAAAAATGTCCTCTTTTGTGTTCCACAGAAATCATAAAGGTTGAGAACGGCATTTAAATGACAGAATTTTCATTTTTGTAAAAAAATGAACAGCTTACTTTAACCTATAGAAATAAGAACCGGTTCACCCAGAATATATCAGTTAGAAACAAATAACAGTGCATTCCTGCTCTATAATGCAGGCAACTAATTGTGACATTTACTAATACATATATAGGCAAACGTCTTTTATGGGTCCAGGCACCTGGACGCCATTTTCTTGGTCATTTTAAATAGAGCAAGTGTCAGTGTGAGTCACTGCAGTATTTCCACAGTTACATACTTAATTCAGTCAACTTGGCAAACCCAGACAAATTGGCTTCAACAAACAGACTTGGCACAGGGTTACAATGATGGCACCAGGAGAAACGGCCACAGTGGCTTCACTCAGCTTAGCGGGCACACAAAGGTGAGCCTCATTTCTTCATCAAGCTCTATTACATTCCCTGCTAAAACTTTGCAGCTCGGATCAGGAACTTATGTAAATTCACATGATTATGCATATTTCGGGATTCATCGAGCTTCCTCAGCAAATAAGCCAAAGAGATAATTCAATTGTGAAACCCCATCTGCTCTCGGAGCCTTTTTTTGTCTCAGTATATGCGCCAGCCATTCAAATGGCTTCCTAACTCCATGCAAAATTCATATAGGCTAATGAGCAGAGGTTATAGAAGAGATGTGGACATGCAAAGGAATGAGACACCCTCAGTCCATTCATACTGAACTGAGACATGGGATAACTTTTCCCTTTTAAACTTGCCCCTCAAATTCATGTGACTCCCAAAGCCTGACCGTTTAAATAATTCAGATCCTGACAAATAATTGATACCGTGATCTTTCAATCTAGAGGAATTCATGAGGCACAGTCATTAGGCAAGAGGAAAAAAATTGGGAGGAAGAATACAAATCTGCATGAAGAAAGCTAACTAGCAACCTTAGGGTAAACATATCAATCAAGCCTGCTCGTTGTAGGCATAAACTTGTTTGTTTGCTTCAGTGGAAGTCACAATTGGGCCAGTAAATTATAACATAGACGTGACATTTCCATGCATTCGTAATGTGCTGCATGTGAAATAGCAACAGTGGCAGGGGACAGTGACAGCTGTACTGGGCTTTCATTCAAGAGTTCAAATCCCACAAGTCTCTCCACAGCAGCACCCAGAGGAGCAGCACTTAACCTGAATTATCTCACTTTAAACATGCAGCTGTGTGAGTGGGCATGGGTTCAACAACACAAGGTCCACTGCACATGACTACGCACTTAAGACTTTATTTCAGTTAACGATAATTTATCGGCTGTGCCAGCACTGCAATTCATTCAGAAATCAAACTGATTATAGTATATTATAACTCAAAGTTGGCTAAATTATATATATATATATATCCATCCAGTTAGGCACATCAACCATAACTCCTTCAAAAACAGACAGAAACCTTGGAGTTATGATTGATGATCATCAGCTGACTTTCTCAGACCACACTGCTAAAACTGCCCGGTCCTGCAGATTTGCTTTATTCAACATCAAGAAGATCAGGCCCTCTTTCGGAACATGCTTCCCAACTCCTTGTTCAAGCTCTTGTTCTGTCCAGGCTGGACTATTGCAATGCTCTCTTAGCAGGTCTTCCGCTTGTAGAGTGGCTTATTGCTTTTAAAAAACTGTTACTATAGCAACATGATAAAAGACATTGTATATATATATATATATATATATATAAAATTACATATTATATTATTATTTTATATATTATTATTATTATGCAGTACCTATATACACCACTATTCAACAAACACAGTTTGGGGTCGGTAAGAATTTTTGTAGGTTTTTTAAAAGTAATATCTAATACTCAACAAAGCTGCATTTATTCGATTAATAATACAGTAAAAACAGTAATATTGTGCAATATTATTACAATTTAAAATAATTGTAGTCTATTTTAATATATTTTAAGAAGAAATTTATTCCTATGATGAAAAGCTGGATTTTCAGAGGTATTAATCCAGTCTTCAGTGTCACATGATCCTTCTGAAATCATTGTAATATGCTTATCTGCTGCAAACTCAATTTCATTAATATACACACACACACACACTAATTATTTCTAAGTAAATGTGCTGAAATATGTGCATTTGCATTTATTTAAAATAATTGTAAAATAGAATTTTTTAACTGTGTGTGTATAGGAGTAATACAATAACGTGATGTTACTTTTTTTTTTTTTTTTTATAGAAACGACTGTTTGTCATATAAACTATAGATAAATAAGAAATAATTCCAGACTCTAACACCCAAAAGCTGATATTCCTCACCTCATCAGTAAAGTCAACCCATAATCAAATCCGTCACTTGAGTGAGTGTTTGCACAGTGTTTGGGAAGTCGCCTGTCTCTCTCAGTTAAACCCAGCATGTCAACCTTAACTTTAGACCTCTAGATAACCTTCTGACACACTTATTCTGACACCACACATTTCGATCATCCTGCTTCCTGTCAGGTGAGTACAGCAGATGAGTGGACAGGACATGTCAGCAATGCCCTCCTACTGTGGCACGACAGTTTTCTTAAAACTTAACAAACCATGTTGTAATTGACTATAGAGAAGGAAAGAAATTGCCAAGAATGAACTATAGATGAAGGAAAAGGTTGGCTGGTCTTTACTGATGCACGTCTAAGTGAACTCCCACCCACTTTCCTGTAGTGTGAAAATGAACAGAGAGGAGGAAACACATTATTCTCGCACATAAAATCCACTGCACAGCCTCACAAACACATTACCTTTAAAAGGACATCCACATAGACGTTGTGCTGTGACATTATCTCTTTAATGTCCCATTTCACTCCCGCCATCAGTAACAGCATCTGTTCGTAATCTATGGCTTTGGCCGCCACAATCCAGTAAATGGGTTTGCGGAGCTCGCTTGCTGTAGATACAGTCTATAGAAAAAAACAGCATAGAAAAGGTCACAATTAAGAGTACCTACACATAACCCCCGGCCAAACAGTGAAAAACAAAGTTTAGTATCTCTTGAATATCCAAGATGCAAAGACAAACATTTTAAGTAGTTGAAACAGTCATACATATAGTGCCTACATATTAGAGAATAAAACTATTTATTGCAAAATAAATCCCTGAAATCCCCAAATCCTGGAAGTCCTACTGTACAACTGTACTTCTTAATGATACTTTTAGTTCTAAAGACTGAAGACAGCCATAAGGACATAAAATTGCCTTATAATTGTTAAAAAACACAGAATGAGTGTACATGTTTTAGTTGTTTTGAAGGTTAACATCTCACAGAGCACAAATTAAATAAACTTCTTCAAGGCACTGCAGTATATTACACCTCATATCACCTAATATTGTTATAGTCCATTATTAGGTGATCTATGTCATAAAAATCTCCACATCAATCATACAAACAGCAGAGCTCATCAATAGTTACACATTTCAAAGACACTAGACTGTGAAGCTGTGAAAACTGTGAAGGTCAGGGCCATAAATATTGGGATGAAACTGACCTGTGAGTAGAACTGCTGAAGAAAGGGCTTCTTGGCTGAAGGCATCATGGTGTCGAGATGAGGCTGAAGGAACTCAAACTGCTCTGCCAGAAAAACTCTGCAGGGGAAAAAAAGGCACAAATAAGAGAGCGTTTTCTGCATGTTTGCAGCGGTACACAATCGCTACATATCGGTTACCCACAGGGAACTGACTGTGCTGAAAACTAGTTCTGTCATGACAACTCTCGGAGGGATTGGCATAGTAATGTACATAACAATGTTAATGTATTGGTCTTGGCGGAATAGATCTGCTACGCTGCTGCGGCAGAGCAAGTACCGAGACTTGCTACTGCCAATATATCCACAACTCGGACTGCGCCATCTAGAGTTTCATGCCAGAACTCTGTATTTACGTTGGTGAAAAAAGGTATGATCTGACTAGGAAGTTTTAGAGGCTTACATTTGTCAGCTTTACATTTGTCTGGTTTCATTTTATTTTCAGACACGAGCTACAGACAGAGACTGAGAGCTGGATATAAGAGCTTCTATATTAAGAGCTGCAGTAACTATAAAAAGTATTCACCCTCTTTTTTTCTGATTTGTTCTGACTGATATACAGAAACATACTTTTTCATGTCAAAATGAAAAGTGTCTTCAAATTGGTCAAAATGTACTACAGTTATTAAACACAAAGTAATTGTTTTCCCCCCTTCAAGTTTATTTTTACACTCAATTTAAACTCTTTTGCAATGTATCTTTGACCACATCTGCAACATTAAACAAAGATGCGTAATAATATTGCAAAAAATATTTAAACAGCAAAACAACAGAACTATTAGTAAAAAAAGAGTTATTTTATATGTATGATTGTCAACATCTGTTCACTGGTGCCAAAGTCAAATTAAGTTCACTGTGATTCAGTGCTTTAAAACAACAAAACATGAAAAAGTCGATGGGGTGAATACTTTTTATAGGCCATGCAATAATGAGATGGGAAATTACCATTCATTAGCATAATTTTCTAACTGCTGAATTGATTTTTCCCCCTCCTGTTTTGTCTTACAACCCAAAGTTCTACAATTTCTACAAAAACAAAGTTAGCTCACAGTCATAAAATTAATTTATATTGTCTAAGCAAATCAACTGCATCCAGAAAATGAAACAAAATTCTGCATGCAAGAAAAAACAGCCTCTTTAACTGAGGGAAGAGGTAATTACAAATCATTGATTCCTTCTGCCGCCAATGGCTGCGCACAACCGGAAACTTCATAAAGTCAGTACCCACCCACTAACACAATGCATAAGGCACCAGATAATTTATGCTAATGACAGCCCACACACAGAGATAAGTGTTCATTGAGCAATAAGAGCCCAAATATTTGCATATAACACCTAATGAACATGAGTTGATTTAAAAGCAGAATACGTAAAGCTATATTGCATGTTGAAGACTGCTGAGACATGCATGAAACAAGCAGCACTAAACAACAATTACTCAGTAGCTGGGTTTCCATCCAAAGCTGCGAATTTAACTTCATAGAATTTGAAATGTCGCATAAAACATTTGCGAATAAGCACTGTTTCCATCCGACGAGTCAAAGAGAACAAAATCGTCACTTCCTGATATACTGGCACTAAATATATCACAAAGAAAAGTAGGAAAAGCCACTGAATATAATAATTTTCATCTATAATAAATAACTTGTGCCTCAGAGCGAGCAGACGAAACACAATGAATGCGGTCATTGCGGAATGCAGTTTTCGTGGATGCCTGCTGTTTGGGACCATAGTCGTATAACAGATCTGGGAGGCAATAATGCAGAAATACTTTGATGACAGACTTTGCTCGGGCATTTCAGAATGACCATAACAAAATTTCAGATGCTGTGCAACGAGATTGGTCCACTGGTTTGTCAGGTTATGCCATCCCATCGCACAAAGTCACGTGAGTTTTTTGATGCGCATGGAGGAATTTATTTGGCAAATGTGTTTCCATCTCCTATTATTCAAGACAAAAACCACCTCAAATGAGTATAAAAACTTTTTTGCGAATTAAGGGATTTTTTTTCTTCTTCGAAATTTGACATTTCCATCACTCGTTTCTGATGCGATACTTCAAAATGCGCATTAAAACAGGGCGATGGAAACATAGCTAATGTGTTTAACTTTCAAAATTAAAACAATTAATTAAAAAAAAAACAAAACAAAAAAAAAGTGTAGTGCATGCTCCACAAGGAGAGCAGAGACCTTCACAGCTTTGATGACTCAATATGGTGGCGTTTCTGTGCTTCACGTTAAAGCAGAGAGTCATTCTTTCCTGAGAAGAACCTTTTCCAGGCTTAAACTCTGGATCTCCTGATCCGTCTTCAATCTAAGACTTTGAAAACGGTCTCCAGCACAAAGCTTGGCACGAATCGAACGCCATCTGGATGCATCCAAAGCAACTATAGGGAGGATCAAACTCTCTCTGCGAATTTGCAAGGGAGGATTCCCTGCTGTTGCACAAAGGCTTAACGTCATGCTGAAAAATCAGTCGAACGGGATAAAGGTCAGAATAGGAGGACTGGAAGTTAAGACATGGTTTGGAGGCCTGACAACTTCCTCTTCAGGATTACGGTGGAAATTCAGGTAGCTTGCATCAGCCCCTGCGGAATCACATCACTTAATGAAATGAACTCCCATGGCTGTTGCCGAAGCCGGTTCAGCCCACCTCTGTAGACTCATCAGGAGAAAAGCAAGGCTTAATGGGGTTCGCTGATTAGATAACAACCACAGTGATATGACTGATTGGGTTAGACAGGCTTGGTTGAAAGGGGCTGCTGGGGTTAGACGTTCATCACCTAGCAACAGTAAGCTTGATCACAAGACAAGAGTCAACCAGCTTTTTAATGTAAATATGTTCATTTGCAAGTCTCATTCCGCTTCTGCTACAAAGACGTCACAGCTGGATATATGATGCAGATGCCATCTGGCTGCCTTTTCTTTTTAAGTTCAGAAATTTCTTGAAACACTGATATCTTGATGGCACTTAGCTCATCCAAAAGGGAAATTCTATTTATCCATTATGTATATGTACACTACTATTCAAAGTTGGTAAGATTAAAAAAAAAAATTGTTTTTTACTTTGATTTAGCAAGCATGAATTAAATGACATTTAATGATCAAAAATGATCATTTATATTAAACAAGATTTCAATTTCACATAAATGCTCTTCTTTTGAGCTTTCTATTCATCAAACAACCCTGAAAAAAAAAATCAAAGTTTCCACAAAAATATTAAGCAGCACAACTGTTTACAAAATTAATAATAATAATAAATGTTTTCTTGAGCACCAGATTAGCATATTAGAATGATTTCTGAAGCATCATGTGACAGTGAAGACTAGAGTAATGACTGCTGAAAATGTAGCTTTCCCATTACAGAAATAAATGACTGTACATTTTAAAGGGGTCATATGATGCGATTTCAATTTTTCCTTTCTCTTTGGAGTGTTACAAGCTCTTGGTGCATAAAGAATGTATGTTAAAATAGAAAACAAAATAAAATTGACTTTATATTTCACAATATTGCTGTTTTTACTGTATTCTTGAGCAAATACAGCACAGCCTTGGTTAACATAAGAGGCTTCTTAATGAATAAAATAACATTTAGTTTATTTATTAAAATAAATGTTGTGTGCATGTGTTATATACATGTTTGTGACAAAAACAAGGGTAGGTAAATAAAACAATCAAAATAATTTTCATTTTTGGTTGAATTTTTTCTTTAAGTAAGGCGGTTTAAAGTAGCTTACAGTGATTCAGTGGCGACGACTCGCTCAGCCAAGCCATAAAGCGTATCACTAGCCGTCAGGACCACCAGCTGACTGAGATGAGGACTGGGGACCTTCTCCTTCCTTTCCTCAGGAGATGCGTGAGGACCTGCGTTCTCCCCTCCAGCCTCCTGCAGAAACAACAACAACAAACATTTAGATCCTGATCCTGTCCAATTTAAAGTAATAGAACTGAAAATTTTCGGCAAATTAATACGATGTCCAGTAAAACACTGTCAGTATTCCAGGAATCAGTCAAACAATTTAACAAACAAAATGAACAGAGGTTTAAAAATATGCTCAACTTTGGTTTTATATTCAAAAACTGTTCACTTGCAAATGTAGTGTTGGAACCTACTTGCTACTTTTTTGAACCAATAATCTCAAAAATCCTCAATGTAATTATTCTGAAAAATTTAAAGGAGTTTAAAGGAAAAGGTTTTGCTTTTAACAAAATGTTTTGCCAACACTAAAGTAAGCCAAAGCCGCTTTTTGTAAGTAGAAAGGGGATAACTACCTCAGAGGTTTAGAGTTACAATAAAAGTTATGAGTAAATGAGCTGTAAAATGAGAACAAATACAGCATAAAACAACAAATTGAATTTAATGAGGAACTGTGAGTTCTGCCACCAAATGGTAATGCTTTGTCCATATGTAAATGAGGATTGCACACGCTTCTGCTTTACTATCATCCTGTGCCGGGAAAATGTGGTGGTAAGGTGAAACGTCCTTGCTGTCCACAATAACCAAATTTAAGAGTCCAAAATACCAAAGAAAACCAATGACGGAACAGAATGACTCACATTATGAACAAATCATGCTGTGCATTTATTCACATTTACAGATGTCACATTAACAACACAAACACTATAATTAACCCAAACACTATATACACTTTAATTATAATTCAATTGTGAGTAGAGGCTCAAGGAAGAATTCACTCAAAAATGACAATTCAATCATCATTTACATTTGCAAACCTGTATTCTTTACGTTCTCTATTGAAAAGACCAGCAACAACATCCTGACTTTTTTGTGAATGATGGAAGGATGAAAATAAAATGCATTTGGAACAACAAGAGGGTCAGTAAATGATGACAGGATTTTCATTTTCATCTCTTTTCAATTTAGAGGCGGCCAAAAAACAAAAACAAAAAAAACAATCAGTACTAAAATTTGGGTGTTGTTAATCAGCTCACATGACCATAAGGAATCATCTCACAAAACATGAAAATTGGTTTGGGATATCACAACATTGCAATGCAATTTGAACTTTGCCACTCTTATCATTAATATTCAAAGCCTTATTTCCCAATATCCTTACACAAACCTATTAAGGTCATATGTGATTACAGCTGAAGTGCTGCCTTTGCGGATACGTGTATTACATTCTACATGAATTAATAATACAACTTGATTTGGTACATGTGTAGACATCTCCCTGTAGAATTAAACCGAGATCCAATCCAGTCAGCATGCATTGTTTGCAGACTTACAAGAGTATTTAACGTTAATTAATATATGAGTGGGTGGAAAAAACAACAACAACAATGTTATCATAGACACATTCTGGCCTATTAGTAACACTAATTTAGCACTGTCAGTTGAGTGGTGGAAGATCTTAGGAAGGCAACTGTGTAGTCAGTAAGATAATTTTTTATTCAATAAGGTTGCATTAAATTGATTAAATGTGAGTTATATTGCTACAAAAATATTTTAATTAAATGCTGTTCTTTTAAAGTTTCTATTCAAAGAATCCTGAAAAAATATCACGAAAATATCACTTTGCCATCACAGGAATAAATTCCATTTTAAAATATATTAAAATAGAAAATAGTTATTGTGACTATCGGATCGGAAAGCCGGATTGGCTTTCACCGTGGACGAAGCGGAGGCCAGCCCGGGGGCGTCATATGTGGTTGCCGCAAGCCCACCGGCCGCTGCTCACTCTAGGCTGCCGTGAGTGACGCTGTGTTTCGTTGTGAAAGCGAAACTACTTTGTTTGGCCTTCCAAAAGAGGACACGCAGCCTTGGTGAGCATAATAGACTTATTTCAAAAGCATTAATAAAATCTTAAGCACTACATTGTCCACTTTTCACCTTTCTTTCTAGATAACAATACAAATACTTGGAGACCAAATAACAAGCAATTCAGCATCAGTGAATTCTGAATAGGGGGTCTATTTACTGTCTCTACACTTAAGTCTAAATATGAAAGATCTGGTGAGACACAGTATAGTGGCAAAACATGCATTTTGAGGTCATTTCCCCATCAGTTTCACCATGTGCAATGCACAAAGCAATATTGATCTTTTCTCCAGAGTAATGTATTCAGAACAACATAATTATATTGCCACTATAAGACCTTCATCCTTACAATGAGTTCAGAACAAAGATCTTCCAAAAGCATATTTATTTTGAAGGATGCAAGACAAATCGGTCATCTGATTGTACTAGGTATAAAAACACTGTCCATAGTAATCAATCTGTCCATGAAATGACCTTTAAAAGACCATAACCTAAAGGCATGTGGAGTACACGATGTTTGATGAAATGTAAAGCGAAATGCCAATGATAGAAACCTCTTAAAAAGTATACACATAAAACTTACAAATGCCTAGAATAGAAAAAGGATTCAACCCTTTCACTATACCATTTTTTCGTTTACACCATTTAACCACAGTGGACTTAATTTGGCTTTTTTTCCTTCTTCAACAGTATAAACTTATGAAAAGTCTAAATAGATGCTGCAAACTGCAGGGAAATCCTGAAGGAAAACCTGATAGAGACTCCAAGACACCTGTGACTTGGGATATAATTTGTCTTCAAGTGAGCCAAAGCGTAAAAGCCAAAGCTACTTAAAAACAACAATGTTAATGTCCTGGAGTGGCCAAGTCATAATCCAGGTCTCAATCCAGTTGAGAATTTATAGGTGGACTCTGGATCTCCATGAAACCTGCTGATCATGAGTAGTTCTGCACAAAAGAATGAGAAACTGCAGTGTCCAGATGTGGCTGACAGAGACCTACAGCATCCACACAGACTAAATTCTGCATCTGCTAAGTACTGACTAGAAATTGTTCTCTTTGACCTGAAAGAATATTTTCTATTGATCAGGTGCCACAAAAGCCAAAATACATCATGTGTGATTAAATGAAACAAAAACTGTCACTTTTTATAGTCACTGTATATTCTTAAAATAGAAGCCCTTATATCCGGCACTCAGTCTCTGTCTGATGTCCGTGTCTGAAAATAATATTAAAGCAGACAAATTAAACCTTCCTAGCCACATCACACCTTTTTTTCCATAAACATAACTAGTTTTCAGCAAAGCCAGTTCCCTGCGGGTAACAAAAATGTAGCAATCGTGAACAAGTGTGACACTGCAAACCTGTAGAAAATGCTCTCTGATTTGGGTCTTTTTTCTCCCAGAGCAGTTTGAGTTCCTTCATCTTCATCTCGACAGCATGATGCCTTCAGCCAAGAAGCCCTTCCTTCAGGATTTCTACTCACCGGTCAGTTTCATCCCACTATTTATGGCCCTGACCTTTACAGTTTCTCTATTAAAGAGCCTTTTCAATCTCCCGTCTGTCTGCTACAGGGTGTCTAGTGTCTTTGAAATGTGGGACTTCTGTTATACTGTAGGACTGAAAATGATTACTGATGAGCTCTGCTGTGTGTATGATAGATGTGGAGTGTTTTATGACATAGATCACCTAATAAAGGACTACAACAATATTAGGTGATACAAGGTGTAATATACTACAGTGCCTTGTAGAAGTTTATTTAATTTGAGCTCTATGAACCGCTATGAACTGAAATAATCCTAGTTCACTCTTTCGCTGCATGTGTTTTTCTTTTCCTAAAGGCACGCGGGAGACTCTGAAGCCAGCTTGAAGATCAAAGATTCAGCTTTTTGGCAATCAGACTAAATGATGTTTAGTGTAAGCCAAACACATCAGAAACATGCCATCCTACTGTGATGGCAGCATCACGCTGTGAGGATATTTCTCTGCGGCAGGACCTGGAAGACTTGTGGAGGTTGAGAGTGGTTGAGGACAGTTGAGCAATTTAGTTTTCACTGGAAACTCAACAAAGAAATTGTTCTCTTATTAAATAGCCATGTAGTAATTTGTATTTTTTTAATAATATACTGAATTACATACTTTATAAATGAAAGGTCTAACTTAATTATTTTCTTTTATGATTTGAAACCTGATGGACGCAGATCAAAAGATACGATTATTCATAACAAATGTTAAGTCTGGCATCTGTGCAAAAACAGCTGTTTCACATTGAACAGCCTAGAATAAAAACAAGAAACGTAAGAAAAGAAGCAGTGAAAAAACCCAAAACATTATAAAAGGATTTCAGATTTATTCAAACTGCCTACTTGGAAATGCTCAAACCTTTTAATAACAATCACATCCTGCTCTTCATATTGACATTCCTCCATGCTATTTTTAAAATACGTGCACGTGATTGCAATAATGCTGTCCTGCTGGCTGAAAGTGGGTATATTTACATACTGAGGTATAAAAGATACTGGCTGACACATTATACTGTTGCAACGGTATATACCTTCATGCAACCCAGCCCTAGTAGAAGACAAAATTAATGCAAAACCCTGGGAAGACCTGAAGAAATCCCAGAGGAAAACCTGATAGAGTCTGAAAGGCACCTGCGACTTGGAAAGAGATTTATCAATAAGACAATGACCCCAAGCATCCAGCCAAAGCTACACAGCCAATGGCATAAAACAATATTAATATTCTAGAGCATCCAAGTCAGTGTCTGGATCTCAATCTCAATCCAAATGAAAATGTATAGGTGGTCCCGAAATAAAAGGCTTGTCAATCTCAATGCAACTGGACTGAGCACTGAGATAAAAAGAAAATAAAACAAAACAATGTATATACAGTTGTTGTACAACTCCTCCCTTGTAAGTTGCATTGGATAAATTAATAAATATAAATGCAGGCATATTATTATGCAAGCTTTTAGGGTGTTCTGAATATGTATTAAGTAAACAGTATGCATCAAACAATTGCTGAATGGTATCTGAGGTTAACGCTATCCATTGAGATCAACTGTAATGAGGTTATTCTGTTCCTGTTAGAATAAACATGAAA